GTGATCAGACTGGATTAAATACTCGTATATGCTTTTTAAGACAGGTGATGAGCAGATAAAGTGGAAAATCATATTTCTACCTAAAAATATCTTGGAAATAACACATACAGCCATTGACCTCCTGGGATTTGAAAGAAAAATCTAGAAAAAAAGCTGATTCATTGATGAAGCAATAAAGACTAAAATATGAAAATGATGCAATATACAATTTGATTCAGATTTCTTTTCATGAGAGACAAAAGTGCAGAATCTAATACCCTTCTAGCATCAGCTAAAGCAGTATTCAGTCCTCATCACCAGTGTCCTGCCTCCCTCCAGCGCAGACTAAGATACCTTGGATTGTTACATGTTGAAATTGCCGTTGTTAGTTACTAAACATTAAATTCTGATTAATTTGCGAAAATATGCATGCAACATACATTCGTTAAAAAATAAATGGTCATTTTCAAGATAGAAAAAAAGTAATCAGTTGTAGTTTTAGACCTAAACTTAATGAAATAAACACAAAGCAAATTTTGATATTTTTTTATTTCAACTGGTTTTTACGGATTAAATGGTTATTTTTTGGGATTATTGTTTGCCGAAAACTATTTATTAGAAAAAAGTTGGCAATCGTGAGAAATTGTACATAAAATGGTATCTAATTTTGCGTACATTGAAATTACTTTAAAATATGAATAATTTATGAATCAGTATATTACAATGTAAATTTTGTGTGTCAAGTACTTTTAGGCAAAGTGAGTATGCTCAGATGTGATGTGAGCATATGTGTTTAAGATTTTCTTTTGTCATACACGTCCCTCTTTATGTAAACGTAAGAGCAAAATATTTCAACAGTACATAAACTCCATTAATGACATAATCTTTCACGTCCGTTTTGTGGATAATAAAATTAATTTAACTTGCTTACAAGGTAAAGAACGATTGGTTTATTATGTTACATATCATAAAATATGTTAAGAATTTAATATGTAAGGCTGGCTACTTTTGCCCCTGATATTTACATATGTTAAAGTCAGTTACTAATTTCCATATAAAATTAACATGTTAACGTTGATTATGAACACATTTACTAGAATTCTTGGGCTATATTTACAGTTTAGTCAAATCAGACATTCTTAAAGCACGACTTCATCAGTTTGGAGTATGATTGTCATTTTTAGTTAGTATTCATAGAACAAAAAAGAAACAATCATACACAATCAACAACATAATTTGTATAATTCCATAGCTAATTGAAATTGCAAGTGTCCTCGTTTCTTGTATAACAATTATCAAGTTAATTGTTTATGTGAATAAAAATGGCACATTGTTATTCTGTTTGTCTAAAGCCTGGTTATATCCCATGGGATATAACCAATCAATGAGTTTCTTTCAAGGAAAGACAATATCATTAAATCGATAACTTAAAGAATTCAGCGCAAAGCAGACAGGACAACAAGAACCACTGACCAAATTCACTACCTCAAAGAAAATCATTTTCTTTAATAAATTAGTCGTTTGTATTCTTACTAGACTAATGAAATGCCATTTTAAAAAGTAAAGTTAGTTTTTTACTTCTAGTCCCGAATAGGAACTTACATAAAGACTTAAACTTTGCATGAACATTATTTTTTTTGCACCAAGTTGTGTTAAATTGATTTGATACAATGGTATGTATACGTTAACTCAGAGTCAAAGGCACATTATGCTTCAGAAACTGATTAAAAAATGTCTTTCTCTGTAAAGGGCACGCATGAGTTATACAACATTTAAAGACATGTTATCATCTGACGTAAGTAAGGCTGAATGCGAAATCATTTTATAAAAATTGTCAATCACTGTTCTACTTGCCAAACGGCAACAGAAGCAAAACAATATTCAGGAAACAGCCAATGCAAAATGTTTTGGAAACTTTAATAGGACACCCCAAAAAATGTTTTAAGAAATGAAAATAAAAGCATTTCTAGGGCATAATGGGTCTGAATTTCCAAATAAATTTTGCTCTTCGTGATAGTTTCGCTTATCTCAAGAAAACATTGCTAAGAAGAATTACTCAATTTATATCATTGATTTATGCAAATGAAATTTTAATTCAGAATGAGTCGCACGAGCGGCATTACGGTTACATCCCCAGACAAATACATTACGGGTCTCGGATGACAAAGTGTGGTTTTAAGCGTAATTGATGACTTCTAAGGTGGCGTTCAATACCAAATGTTGTCAAGATGAAAGAAAATAATAAGTTAATGGGCTTTATTGTCAAATTTATGTCTTTTTCAACACCTTACATATTATATTTATACCGATATTTTCATTGTACATCGTTCATTTATCATTGTTTTACACTACTTAATGCCTACTGTGATTTCAACCGCTTGTCAAAATGAAAAGAAGACACGAACATAATCATTACTTTTTTGATAGACATAATAACAAAATATATACTAAAAGCTTTATTCAAATATTAAGTTTGTTTAATATTTTGTTATGTTAAACGTCATTTTCATTATAGATTAATATAACTTAATATTTATTTTTAATATCAATTATAACATTAAATTTGCTTTTTGTCAAAGAATGAAGTCTACCACAATAGGTGCTACCGAGCGTGGTTGGTAGCTCTATCGGCCGAAGTCGGACATGAAGGAAATCCCTACAAAATATCCAATCATATCATGTTTGTGAATATTTTATTTAAAATATAAGCTCTACTGTATCTAAAACTGCGTCATGAGCTATGTTGTGACGAACCATTGAACCCATAATATGATAGTACATGACAAATTGTAGATAAACTAGAACTGTGTCCAAAGGACACGGATGCCCCCACTGACAACATATATATGGTATATAGTGAAAAAATCAACAAAGGGCCATAATTCTGTTAAATTTGGTCGCAGCAAAAATTCCTTCCTTTACTTCCATCTACACATTAAGGTTGTTCATCCCTGGAAGTTTAAGCAAAATCTGCCATCCGGTTTAAGAGGAGTTGCGTTCACAAAATTTCTATATGGTATATAGTGAAAAAATCAACAAAGGGCCATAATTCTGTTAAATTTGGTCGCAGCAAAAATTCCTTCCTTTACTACCATCTACACATTAAGGTTGTTCATCCCTGGAAGTTAAAGCAAAATCTGCCATCCGGTTTAAGAGGAGTTGCGTTCACAAGATTTCGGGACGTACGGACGGACAGACGTACGTACGGACGGACAAGTGCAACGCTATATGCTCCCCACTTTGTGCACTCGCAGAAATATAATTCTGCGAATATAATTTAATTAAATATTAAATTTAATATTATAATTGAATAAAGTGTAATGCATTTTGTTGTACCTTAATGCAGAAAGCATTGTTGAAGGTGTGACGAAATGCTTAATTTTTATCACTAAGCCATTTATAACACACGAGATCAATCACGTTAATTGCAAATAAGGAACTGTTTCCAGTACACTTAATCAAATGCATTATAAAATTTCAATTAACTCAATTTCTTCTTTAGTGTTTTCCGTAGAAATAATGGTGTTGTCCTCGTATTTCTTTACGTACTGTGCGTGAATGTAGATCTACAAATTTCTAGAAACATCAATACTAATCAATCACATTTATTCATTTGTTCGATCCATAAATCATTCGTATTTTCTATATACAAATACGTTTTAGGTGTTCAAACGGGATTTAATACAATAATCAAACTAAATCTCTTGCTTCAATAAATAAATAAGTCTTTACTAGCTTAGTGAAATACTACTTTAATCGCCAAAATGGCTCATTCTTACAGCCTAGCTTTATTTACCAAGGTTCGACTCCTACCCAAGCTGATTTAAAATATTGTTCGCAAGATCACAATATTGTATACGTATTAATTTTAACAAATCGTTACTAAATGAGACCTGTGCAAATGGCAAGGGTACGCGTGAAGTTGATTTTGTTTGATAAAGAAAGAGTACAATGGAAACAATATAATAAATACCACTTAACATAAACTCTTTTTTTTTCAATACTCTCACAAACCGCCTAAATATTCGAACTAAAGTACAATATCCTTTAAGAAGTACAGGAAACGAATTTGAATGTCCTTTGATTTTTTATTATTACTGATGCAAAATGTTAGTATTGAATATACCGGTATCTCGTCAGAAATGCACTGAGATTTTTTTATTATTATGACGGGGTAGTCAAAAAGTTCGCGGACTGGTCTTAAAAAGATTATTGACGTCCGATTGTCATGAAATTTACCATGAAGGTATTTTTAATTAATTTGAGTAGCAACATGTATGAAAAAATCAATTTAATAAATATTTGGAAATTATTTTTCACATGAAACACGCCCGCAACCCGTGTACGGAGCATTTCAGAATTAATTTGATTTTTCTAGAAGTGAATAATACTCTTTCATGAATGTCTCAAAATACTGAACGTTACTAGTAAACAACTGCAAAAATTCAGCGTGATCGGATGACGTATCGCTATTTTGTGCTAGATTATTCAAGCCACGTGAAAATTTCTATACGAAAAAATGTCAACCTCAGAAAAACGTACGGAGCAGCGGGCAGTAATAAAATTCTGTGCGATGTCTGGAATGACTCCGACTGATACCTGGAAGTTTTTGAATCAGAAGGAGGGTGTTCATAATTGTTCTAGGACACTTGTGTTTGACTGTTAAAAGCGTTTAAGGGAAGGTCAGACGGAAATTACCGATAGTGCACGAAGCGAAAGACCGGGTAACGATCAGCGCTCAATCCAAGATGTGAAGGACGTCATCGCCAAAGATCGGAGAAAGTCGATTGATGATATCGCAGACACCGTCGGGCTTTGTCATGGAACTGTACATAAGATAGTGACGAAGGATTTTAACATGAATAAGGTGGGTACCTAGGTTACCTACAGATAAAAACAAAGCAACCCGTGTAGACACTTCCCGAGAATTTTTACGGCAATATGAACGAGACGGCGAACGATTCCTTAGGCGCATTATCACTACGGATGAGACGTGTGTGAACTTTTACAACCTGGAGAGTAAACGAGAGTCGATGGTGTGGAAGCGACCTTGATCACCTCCCCCCAAGAAGGCGGAAACCTGCAAGTCGGCGAAGAAAGTTATGTATATTTTCTTCATGGATAGCCAGGGTATGCTGTTGAAACATGCGGTGCCAAGATCGGCGACAGTCAACAAAGAGTACTATCAAAAGGTAAGCATTAATTATGTCGCATGAAATGTTTTTACTAAATTTCTATGTTTATTTATATGTAAGGTGAAAAGTATATAAAATATAACAAAAAGTGAAAGAAACTATTATTTTTATAATTTGCCGCATTTGTGGTAGTTTCAAATAAAATGAATTTGTTATTAACAGGTTGTGCGGAGGGATCTAACGAACGCTATCAGGAAAAAGCGAGCAGGGTGCGACATCGAAAATTTAATTTTTCATCAAGATAACGCTCCAGCACACCGCGCAGACGAGACACTCCTTACTATTGACTTCTTAGGATATGAGCGGCTACGTCATCCCCCTTATAGCCCCGATCTCGCCCCCTTAGACTTTTGTGTTTTCCCTAGACTGAAAGCAGATTTGAGGGGTCGGAGGTTTGATACAGAAGATGAGATCAAATATGCTGTGAGGTCCGCAATAAGAAGTTACACTCCAGAGTGGTATGCAGACATTTACCGGAAGTGGGTACAGCGGCACAGGAAGTGTATTGAACACAATGGGGACTATTTTGAAAAAGCATGAACGTGACGGTAAGTTGTTTCTGGAATATGAACGTCACCTGAACGTCGTTAGCGTCGTCGACGTCGCCGAAGTGCTCCGTACGTGACATAGTGTGTAACTTTAACGGGGTGTTAAATATGTGTAACATTTATGAAAATCATTGACTCTTATATATTCATGCAGCGATTTCTCTAAAATTTAATGTGATATATGTCATTATAAAAACATACACAAAATAACAAAGTTATCGTAAGAGTCCGGGAACTTTTTGACTATACCTCGTATTTATCGTTATTACTACACAAAAGCTGTATTTCAGATAATTATATGTAATATATTTTAGGTATTTGCCAATATGCGTTTTAACTACCAGTATCTTTATGCAGGAAACAAGCAATCACAATGATTTAATACCCCGGTCACATATTCACGGAATACGACGACGGTAGAGCCACGGAATAATTCCAGCATCGTCCGTAGCTACCCGTACTGGTCAGTAGCTCTCCGTAGTGTAGCCGTAATCAATCGTAGTAGTCCTTGTATATCCGTAGCGACCCTTGACAATTTTTGAACATGCACAGAAATTTGCTACGGAAAAATCAATCGTAACGTATCCCTACTAGTCCGTATTAAACCGTACTGATACGTACTGGTCCGTACGAAAACCGTACTAGTCCGTACTGATTAGTAGGCCCCAACTTGTCAAGGATTTCTACGGTTTAATACGGAGAACTACGTATTTGTACGGTTAACCTACGTATAAGCTACGGTTTTAATACGGATTAATACGGCATTGTCACGGAATGGCACGATTGTAATACGTTGTACTACGGAGAGGCAGGGATTAGCACGGTCATATACGGTTTATTGCGTTGCAACACGAAACGGCACGGAATGGTACGGTCCACCACTGTTTAGTACGGATAAATAAAGTATCATGTACTTTTTTCAAGGTATAAATACTATCTGTTTGTTAAAAACATACATTTTTGCTTTTTCATTTTGCGAACATAACCATGAACATTCAAAAAAAGATATTTGCCATTAACTGGCTGTAATTGTATATTGATATGGCGCAGAATGCGGAGGCAGTAATCGAGCTGTTTGATGACATGCATAGAGGTATAAAATATATTAATATTGTACTACAATGCATTAGTAATAGAATAACATTTAAGATTTCATATTTTACAAAACATTTGATCGTGAAATTGGAGTATATATGAACATGAAACGTAGTGTCTTCTAAGCCTCGGACGCTGGCCCTTAAGTGATAATAAGATTAGTTAACAAGCTTTTTACTTATTCTTAAAACACAAACATTCATGATAATTAATGTAATTAATCAACATTTTTCAATACTGTAATGATTATTATATTTAACCAGGTACGAGAAGACAGAGGAGATGGACGGGGCCTCTGTGGCCGAGTGGTTAAGGTCGCTGACTTGAGATCACAGGTCCCTCACCGCTGTAGGTTCGATCCTCACTCGGGTCGAAATCTTTCATGTGAGGGAGCCATCAAGCTTGCTTACGGAAGGTCGGTGGTTCTACCCAGGTGCCCGCTCGTGCCTGAAATAATGCCCGGAGGGGCACCTGGGGTCTTCCTCCTCCAATAAAAGCTAGAAAAAAATCTCGGCGGGACGCTCTAGGATAGCCCGACTTGAGTGTACGGTCGCCCATATGGGCTATTCGTCGGCGACCGTAAAAAACGCATTAAAAAAAGAGGAGATGGTGGACTAGAGATTGGCTTTTACGAAGACACCTTCATGGCCATTATGAGACTCTCATGGCCGAACTTCTTGTCGAGGATCCGGCGTCCTACAAGAAATTCACTTGATATGTCTTGGGTCTGACGCGATGAAGCCGAATCCTCTCCGCCAAAATCATTGAACTCTGCTATTCGTTTTCTAGATGCTATTTTCTTGTGAGGCATTTTGAAAATGAGCATGCAATTGTGGACAAATATTATTGGTCCGTATAGATCCGTGGCGATTCGTTCTTCTCCGTATCAAACCGTGCTTATTCGTACTAACCTGTGCTTATACCGTAGCAGACCGTAGTGTATCCGTAGTGCATCCGTCCTGGTTCGTGTCGCTCCGTATCAAACCGTGTCGGTCCGTAACAATCCGTGTCTCTCCCGGGGCTTTTACCTACATTTTGGTGGTAAATCCGTCAGACTCCGTACTCAAACCGTTGTGTTTCCGTACCGGAACCGTAGCGGACAACGGAATTTCAAATTTCCGTAGCAATCCGTGAACGATTAGACCGTAGCTCTTCCGTGGCGTTATCCGTGAATATGTGACCGGGGCATAAACAATTTTTCCGTATCTCGTTATTATAAATAGCAGCTACATTTAGTGATACTTCGTATCTGAAATGCAGATATTGTTACGTTACTCCTCGAAACTTTTTTTTCTTTTTTAAGGAGGAAAAGTAAATGGCATAACAATTTAAGATGCCCTTTTTCTTTTAATATAATAAATTAATTAATATCATTATTCACGTTTCAGTACAATATATCAAATAACTATTTCACATCCGTCTTTTTATTTGTTGTCTTTTTAATTCAAATACAGACAAAAAGGCACAAACTATGTAAGAATCTGGGTAGACTCGCTAAAGTAACGTTATTTACTTCTTGTCCCGGTAAAGAACTTACATAGCGAAAATGTATAGCTCCAAGTCAACTCTTAACATTACCCATTGTGTAGGATATTGTAGTAGTATAGAACCGTTTCCTTATAGAGGTAAAAGATAACATGATAGTTCAGCAAGTAGGATTTGGACAAAGCTGCATATTGCTCTGACCTTGTAATAAAAATATTCTGTTGAAATTTTATAACATTAACATCAACTTTATGAGACAAATTTCCCATTTATTGATATAAAACTACATAGCGGTAACTATATTTCATTAAATCTTAAATACCATGGAATCGTTATGGTAAAGAGGAAACAAAAGAAAGATAATTTTGGTTCCATGTGAATGCAAATCTATACGATCTAAATAAAATAGAAATGCTGTAAATTAAATAATTGTGTGCTTTGTCGTGCATAATGACGTAATACGTGCTTCTGTTTATCTGAAACGTATTCAACCACGCCTAGAACAATTATTACTTTTAATTTTCAGACATTAAGGCTTGGTGTACTTTTAACAAAGTGTACATTGTACGTGTCAAAGTTGAACAATGAAAAGTGTTAGTAACAAGACGATCTGAATAGAACCAGAGTACTGTCCATAATTGGACAAATGATTCTTATTTTTGTATTTAACGACGTGTTCTGGTGACATAGAAATGACTGTTATTTGAGACTGTAGGAGGTATTTATCGCCAGTAGCTGTATTTTAGCCACTTCTCTGGTAACCCTATACACCCATTCGGGACTACTTCGGCTATTATCTATAATAACCTCGGAAACAATACGGATTGAAAGTAGTTCTACCACGTGATTTACATATGTAAACAGAAACAGAGATAATGTAAAACAAATGTATATATTTGACATCTAATGTCTGTTCCGGTACTCCCATGTTTGAAAATATGCCTGACAACAATTTGTAATTTAAATATGCCCACTGATGTTCAATTTTAAACAAATCCGACTAAATGTCAACAGGTTGGTTTTTTGTACTTTCGGTTTCTACAGCCATATTAGTAAATATATAAATAATGTATTGTTTGCTTTTGTACGTATGAATTCACTTATTTTAGGTGGACTTTTACTACATATATTGGAAATAAACTTGTCAACAACTCCCAGCATTAAATTACTATTTGTTTACATGTTTAGTTTCTTAGCGTAGGTTAGACCGGAATACCGCATCCGTTCTGTGTATTCATACTATTGTGTTCGAGGTCCTTATCCGAAGACTGACGGAAAGGGCCGAGTAGTTGCGATTGCCTATACACCAATTACTATAATCAACTTGTTTTATTGCAATTTCTGTCTGCTGCGAGAGAGGAAGGAAAATGCAGAAATATTGTCCAAGTATTTCCGTTGTGAATTAATGCTGCGGTAGATGTGGATAAGATTGTGTAAGAAACGTACCTTTAAAAAGATAGTGTTTCCCACAAGAAACGAATCAAAAATTGGTGGAGAAGTAAAATCTACATTTGGGTGTTTGAGTAATGTACCATTGTATTATTTTTATATGCAAAATATGCACAGAATTAAGAAATGTTTTAATTCTTCATAAATGTTTCAACATCCTCTCTACTCCATCACACTGCTTTGTTCACAGTTTAGCTCTAACTGTTCTGGAATTTAATCATTTTACACATGGTTAGGGGGCTATTTTGAAACCTATCAGTTGTCATCGTGCGACGTCTATACAACAAGAATTACAATATGTAGCAAGTACTTACGTGTTAAAACCAGTATCTAGCTTTAAGGAATAAAGAAATAGAACCCTACAAACAATAAGATTTGCTCTTGTTGTAATTCTCAATCCTACAGTCTGTACAAAGTTTTAATAAATCATTTTATTCAGTAGCTCTCATCCTTGTTTTTTGCAGCTAAAAAACATAAATGTCTTTCTTTAAATTGACGGAGAGAAAAGTACAATATAGGAACCTCAACTTTAAAAATTGAAATATTTATGGCTTGAATTGACTGAGACTGTTTCTGGGCGACAATGGTTCATGTCAACGCCCAACTCGCGACGATTTGAGCAAACTCTAAACATATTTATCAACCAAGGAAACGGTTCTACATTTTGAAACAATTTCATCGGTTTAAAAATAAATCCTCCACAAAAGTCACTTCTTCAACTTTTGAGAGAACAAATATCAGACCAATCATTTAGATTACGAATCCCCTATGACATCAAATTATAAGGATTCGAAATATTTATCAAATGTCTTGAAAATTATCTTTAAATAACTTGTAAGAAAGTGATAATGTAATTTAGACGTCAGTGCGTAATAAACATGAAATCCCTCAGCTAAAATTCAATCAAATTTTATAACATGTAAAGCGTTTTTTGAGAATAACATAGACAACAAACATTTATTT